CAACACATGCAAAGCTGTCTGTCTCTTCCAGACTTCCCATGAGGTGTAATCTGCAATGGTGCCGCGAATCAGCATTGGTGATGAAGTACTGGAAACCACCTCCCGCTTCTGCAACCTTAGGAGTGTGGTTTTGACTGAGCAGCAATTACACAGTAAGCTTCGTATCCGCATCTCAAAGGCAGCGGCAGTATTCGGCAAGCTTGACTACCGAGTGTGGAACAAGTACCCATGTTGGCACGAAGCTGATGGTGTACAAATCTATGGTGCTGTCCGTTCTGTTATGCGGTAGCGAAATGTGGACTACGTACCGCCGGGATGTGCGATATCTCGAGCGGTTTATTCAGCAGTATTTGCGGTGGATTCTACACATCCGTTGGTGCGGCAGAGTTGCAGACACGGAGGTTCTGCGTCGAAGTGGAATGTATGCAGTGGACCGTATCATCATCATCCTCCTCCTCATCCTCATCATCAACAGCAGTACATCAGTCATTTGGACTGATGCTTCGCTGCCATACAACCATGAGGAACTATTTAATAAAGAAGAAGAGGGAGAAAAGGGGGACTTACCTGAAAACCTAAATGCCCTAAACGACCATCCAGGGTCAAGGCGCCTACACCTTGTGTAGACAACATACCGTCACAAACAGCTGGCTATCGTGCAAAGATAAGGCGGCATCGGCGAGACAGCTTATTGCGGCTTTCGCTACCACGCATCATAATCAGCCATCATCCCCAGACAACTCAGCACCAAACACAGTTTAAACAGGCAATCGGATTAGGAGACGGCAGCAGACGCGCCACTGGTGTTGGTTGCGAGCCATGTCCTGTAAAGTCTCGAGCCAAGCACAAGGCGAGTCACGTGGACCCCAGACCGGAAGGAGAAACTGACCGAGGGCACTCAGTTTGGTCGTCAGTGACTTCCTTTCACGCTGCGAAGTCAACTTCTGTCCATCTCGAGCTTTGCGCCATCTTACACCTAGCAGACTAAACAACGCCTTCGTAGGTAAACGTTGACCAGGCATACGTAGCACGTGCCCGACCCAACGCAACTTATTAAGTTCTATCTGTTGGTCTAGGGAGTTAGCATGATTATCACCACCTAGTACCCGCCTACGCACATCATCGTTGCGGACAAGCGGGTGTCATCCGACACCAGCAATGCTTCACAGACAACGATCACCAAAAAAGTAAAGGTGTCTCAGACCTGCAGACAGAAGGGGCCAAGTTTCACTATAATAGAACAGAAGGTCCCTCACTGTGGCCTTTAGTACACGGCCTTCAAGATGGAGAGAAATTCCCATCTGTCGCCAAAGATGACGCAGGTTCAAGAAGGCAGTTCTGGCCTTTGCAATGCGTGAACTGACTTCAGCTGCTATGCATCCATCGTTGCTGATGCAGCTGCCAAGGTAAGTGAATCGATCAACCAACTCGAGTTCCTCGTTATCAAAGGTTAGGAGTACAACAAGTGGCTGGTGCTCCTGCAGCAACACTTTGCACTTTGAAGGTGCGAAGTGCATGCTAAATAATGGGACCATTCTAGACAGGCTATTCAGGGTTGCCTGTGCCTCCTAACATCGTCAAAAAAGACGATATCGTTCGAATTATTAAGATCAACAAACCATTCACCAGGCAGGATTTCAACGCCTGCATCGTGAGATTCCGTATGGGGACACTCAATGGTAGAGTCCACGAGGAAATTGAACAGAAAGGGGAAAATCGGATAACCCTGACGAAAGCCACTTGTTGTCAGAGATCTATCCGACAGGTCACCGTAGACCCTGACGCGGCCTGTAGCGTTCGAGCATAGAGAACGTAAGATGCTCACATATTTCCTCGGGACACCTTTCTGCGCAAGTACGTCGAACAGAATGCATCGATCGACTGAATCGAATGCGCTCTCGAAATCGCTATTGTCGGCCCGCGGTATGCGTGGCGCTGCTCTAGCACCTGCTACAAAGTGAATATATGGTCTATACAGCCACGTCCTGGGCGGAAACCGGCCTGCTCTCCCCTAATCCGAGATTCCCGTTCCGCAGTGAGGTGACGAATGAGAATCGAGGCTAGTAATTTTGTCACAACTGGCGTTAGACTAATACACCTGTGGTTAGCAGAGTCTGTGCGATTGCCCTTCTTGAATACTGACACTACAATCGATCCACTCCAGTTAGCCGGAACACCCACTTCCTTCCAAATATGTTCGAATAAGTTCAGTGCTTTGCAGAGGACTTCACCTTTATCCTTAAACATTGCACGTGGGATGGAATCTGGGCTAGTGGAACGAAAATGATTGAGGGCTGTGATCGCGTTTCGGACCTCGGCATCCGATGGAGACTCTAAACTATCCGTCCATGGCTCGTCCTGCATCACCTGAGTAGGAAGAGGTCCTGGAGCAGGGGGCCGGCTGAACTGATCTTGAAAGTGTTCCGCCCAACGAGCCATATGGCGCTCCTTATTGTGTATCAGCCTACCCGCACTGTCTCTGATTGTCTCACAGACGCCTGGTTTTCTGGGACTAGTGGTGCGGATTAGCTGGAAGAGTTTGCGGTAATTGCCTACTGCTGCTGCCTCCTCCATTTCTTGAACCCGACTGGTCCACCAAGCTTCCTTGTCAGCACGTAGGCTTCGCTTTAGTTTACGCCTAATAGCCCGTCTGGTCACATTGTGTTCAGAACCAGCCGGAAGGTGTCTTCTAGATTTCAACAGGTTCACCGATCTCTCGGATATCCAGTGACTGATGCGGTGATGATGGATAGTGCCACAAGCAGATGCTTCTGCGTCGTGCATGGCGGCCGAGATCCTATTCATCTAAAGCTCAGTGTCGTTAGGACAAGACAGCGAGAGTTCGGTACGCAGTGCGTCTTGATAGGCTTGCCTGACCGAGGGCTGAGACAATTTCTCAGTTGCCGATCGGAGGAGAGGCATGGTGCGCCTCCCGGTAGTGTTCAACGGGAAACGACAACGTACCAAGTCATGATCAAAGTCGACGCTGATACTCTAGTACGAGCGGCAATCCAGGATGGAACCACGCCATCTATAACTTCGGCTATGTGGTCAATTTGGGTCCATCGCTGGCCAGCTACAGGAGGACGTCAAGTAGCACTTCGACGCCTACTGTGTCTAAAAGCAGCGCTACTATGAAACAACTGGTGCTTCGCACACAGTTATAGCAGACGCTTGCCGTTGTCAGTACGTTTGGAGTTAAGTCCATAATTACTACCCAGCTGAGCTTTTGAAGAGCTCAGACGCCCTACTTGTGCGTTCATATCCCCTGCAAGTACTATAATATCTGAACTAGTAGCACTGCGTAGTAGCGTGTTCAGTTCGTGGTAGAATGTGTCCTTGACAGCATTTGAACTACAGCCGGTGGGAGCATTTCACGGAAATCACAAACAAACAGCGTTTCGTACTACCTCGTGAATCAACCTTAGCTGATGTTGTCAAACGGGCTGCACATAAACGGCTGTTCACCGGAATCCAATCAATCAACAATGGCTCAGCCTTGGAGCTTAGAATGATACCTACACCAGCTTGGCCCGTAAGGGCTGCATCGGCGTCTCCGGATGCGTGCAACCAATAACGAAAGGATAAACCGGGTGCAGTTAATTCAACAGCCACATGAGGGTCATTGATCCTAGTTTCAGATACATAACACACATCAATACCCAGTGTGTCCAAGGTGCGTGCGAGTGCAGCCTGTTGACCTAGTTGTCTTAGAATGCAAACGTTGTACTCCGTCAGGGAAACGGGACAGGTTGGCCTTATAAGGGACTGTTGCCGATAGCCATCTGATGGGTGGTGCGGGAAGGTAGCTGCAGATGGTGGGACCTTAGTGGCACTTCGGTTGCTGTCAATTAAGCTGGGAATTGTAGAAGGAAGGTTGGCAGAGGAGGAAGAGAAACAGGTGGGAAAGGAAAAAGCGAGGCGCCAGCAGTAGCATGTTTTCGCTTATCTGTCCTGCTGTATGCAGCAGATAAGACGATCCTTGATAATCTGCGCGACTACCGATGCAGGATGAAGTTTATGTTTGAAGAATATGTCATGGTTGCATGTGGGCTGTGATACTGCCAGGGCGCTCAGACCTAGACAGGAGAACGATTAGGCTACTTATCCAAAGCCTTTAGCTCAAAAGCTTGTTCACAAGGCAGTGGGGAGGTGGCAATGATTTAGTTTTACAGAAATGGACGCCATCCCATTTCAAACCCCAAACCTGGAGGACCAGGAGACTGAGTTTATCTGACCACTGACAATTGGCCAACCTGGTAGGAGTAGCTCTCAAGGGGCCCGGAGGCACCACCCAGTATAGCTCCATGGTTTAAGGAGGGACACAAACCGTCGCACCACGTTAAGGTCCAGTCTCGTTGCGACGGGTTAACCTGATTAATCTGCTATTAACTTGCACACATCGCTTAAGCTAATTGTAGTTAACTTCGATAACATTTTCGCGTTTGCGAGATTTTCTCAACATATATTTTCGGACATTTTGCAGTTATCGCGCAGTTGTTGTTAAACAGTTGATTACATATGCTTATTTATGTCAGCATTTCCGAATGCTTTATTCGATATATATGATGATATTGTCATTTCAAGTGATTGCCTGTTGCTTGATATCCCCAGTGTGGCTGCGCTTGATGTGCATGTTGATAAGGTGTCTAGCTGTCTATTATCCACTACCTCGTCTATTTGCGTTTAACCTTATTTTCCTACTGTTGTTATTTATTGTCATTCTGGTGACGTGAGTCTTGCAACCTGAATTCGCTACACTATAGGACCTGGACCATAGTTCTTTAACTGAATCGAACTCAATGCAAATTAAGAAACCGCTGTGAGGCACAACTGTCGTTCGATTTTAAAAGTTCAGTTGAAAAACGCATGTCCTAGTTAACTGAAATAAAATGCGACGTCTAATTGTTAATAGTGGGAACCGGATGAGTAACCAATGGCAAAAGGGAGTTACGTAAATGAAGTGCTTTAGCAAGCAACAAACAGTGAACAATCCAAACCTTGGATAAATCATGTGTGGTGGACAAGGTCAACCCTGATCGGAGGAGCCTCAGCAATCGCGGCCTCCTGGTGGTAGATCGCAACGAACCAGAGACAACGCCGTCATTGCTGTTCACGACTGTACATTCTTGCTTTGTGTGTGCTAACCAGGTCTCGAGATAGGGTAACAGACGGAACGCAGCTCTCACGGTAACATCAAGGCGTTCAAATCTAGCGAAAAAAGAAAGTGGTTTTAGTAGCAAACAACTATGGTCACGCATTTAACTAGTGACTCGTCTGCTTCGCGTTCAATCTGTGCCACTGATGCCGACTAGGTACAGCAAAACGTTGAGTAGTGTCACACGAAGAGGAAGCGAAATGTTAACAAGCGAGCAACAACCTATTGAAGCGTAGGGTTCGACCAAGGAAAAAAGAGTGAAACATCACAGAAAACCTGAATGCCGCAGTAATGTTTTTATAAGCAGACGACTACAATTGACTGCGGCAAAGTGATCATGGCTGGTGTCGGATGGCACCCGCGTGTCCGCAACGATGATGTGAGCACGCGAGTGCTAGGCGGTGATTATCAGGCTAGTTTCTTAAAACAACAGATAGCACTGAACAGGTTGCGTTGGTTTGGGCACGTGCTACGTATATCTGGTCACCGCTTACCTAGCAGGGCCTTGTTCTGTTTGCCGGATGTAGGGTGGCACAATGATCTAGGTTGGCAAACGTTGACATGGCAGCGGAAATTGAAGTCACTGGCTAAAATCTGGATACTGTCAGCCGTTCTCACCTTCCAGGATGGAGTTCACGTGACACGCCTTGTGCGTCACAGGACGTCGTTCGCAGTCAGCATTAGGAGCGCGTTTTATTGTTGTCTCCTAGTCGGACTGTGTGTCTAAAGTGTGTTTAATGTCGATTTATCGGCGGGTTGATGGCAGTTTATAATGCGGGACAGTGAAGGTTCCAAGAAGTCTGTTTCGTTGATGCCGCCTTACCTTCTTTGTAACCGTGTGTTGTGGGATGGGTGCAAGAATCTTGACCCTGAGTGTTTGTTTACGACGTTTGGGCACTATATTACCTCTCACACATAGTATTCCGCATTCCCTAGGTTATTATGGTTGTACGGTAGCGAGGCATCAGTCCAAATTATTGATGTGATTACGAATATCTTCGAAAACTGAACAAAACACTGACTTTGTTGTGGATGCTAGATTTGTGATTGGGATCGATTTGGTAGTCGGTGGTGAACCCTGGGAAGGAGATAAGTATGCAAACTCGGAAATGCCATGTGTTTACGTATCGCCTACACAAATCTTACCGGAAGGGCATGAAAAGAGCACAGCTCGAGTCTGCAAGAGGGCATAGCTCGGGTACGGCTGTGAAGCTGATGTAGAAAGCACATAGGCTTTTCGAGTCAGCTCACTTAATACGAATAGTGCGCTGTTCTCCATACTCACTACCGGTCTACAGTTGCGTAGGAAGTTTGTAACAAGTCAGTGTTTTGTCCACTGCTTAAGGGCGTTTGCTTTTATGTAACCAAGGCCACATAGCTCCCGCGATATTCAGATTGTGATGCGAAATTCTTCTCCTCATCATTGGTCTAGCTATCAGAGTTGAGCAACTAAAATTGGATGAATCACCATAGTGGTCTATCAATACAGTGCCTTGGAGATGGTAAACTAGTAGTTCACAAACTTTTGTGGTTGGTACCCTCAAAGTGTGTTTAATATAAACAATTACGCCCGAACTTTTAGGTTATTTGTTTATTTATTTTGAGTTAATTACGGAAAATGAATACTATTTTTAGTTACTTTCGATCATTCAAATAAAAAACTTTGTGAGCAACTTTTTATTAAAGCAACTGGTGATGTAAGTTAATGGTTGATATCGCTTAGTTCTAACAAATGCTGTTCACCTTCGGCTAATGCACATCGTAAGTCGTGCTCCTAGTTCAGTTGGTTCCTGAGCAAACATGTACAGATGTCAGTGGCTTATCATTTGTTTCAACCATCCCTTTCAATTCCTTCCTGGAAAATAGCTTCTCACCACCACTCTGTATCGATAAGTCGTCAACACTAATCGTCAACCCCACGTTCTCAACGACGATGTCCGAGGTCACGTCTTAAGTAATTTGATGCTTTATCTCGACAGGCTAGTATCACGCTGATATCCCGCAGTTGGTCACGTCCTACGCAAGCCGTGCGAGCAAGCACGACGACGCGCTTTATTAGCTCACACAGGATCAGGGTGGATAAAATTGCGCGGTGGTCAGAAGACCATATTATGGCAAAAAGTCAAAGCGATAAGTAACAGGTCAGCTGCTATCGGTTTTGTGCATCTTCCAGGCTGGGCATTCAAGAATGAAAAACACCGCTGGCTGGAAACCCATGAGGACATAAAACGAAGCCAGACTAAATGGAACATGCTTAGGAATTTATGCCTTGATTTTCAACACCAACCTCATTAAACTGGCAGAAAAAAACGTGATGCGAAAGACAATAGGCTACTTATTCTTTTTCCATTTCTATTTTGTAATTATCAATTGCGTTCATTTCATGGATTTTGATGGTCCATATCTGTATTATAACCTATTACCACTATATATGCGTACCAAAGCGAGACAGATTGATTAAGCCATGTGACATGACAAGTAATGGAAAACCAGACACTCGATAACGATATTACAAGACTGACATTAATGACAAAGTACCTTGACAACAAGGATTGACTGAACATAGTCTCGCTGTTGAAATGTTTGCCAAGTTCCTGACTCATCTGCAGTTGGGAAAGACCGGTGCGCAATCGGTGCTGTGTCAGTTGTTTGGCAAATCTAGCCAAAGAGGATAAATTATGGCCAGATAACACAATATCGTCCGTTAAACCAGACTGCTCTGGATTATCTTGAGTGAAATGGTGGCCATGGGCTTGCAACAGATGACGGACTTTGAAATAGAAGGATGAAATAAAAGAATGTGTGATCAAGAAAACCTCAAAACTGAATATGCTTAACCGCATGAGGGAAGACCATCTATCCACTCTTAGTAAACCGAAACTAAAGCGTATCTTGAAAACCGGCGGATAAAGCAATTACCAAAGAATAGCGCGATTGTGTTGAAAGTTGACAAAAATAGAAACAAAGAGGAATAGTCTGAATCGTGGACAATGCAAACATCTCGGGTAAAGTGGTCGAAAAAACCAGTAGTTGACAAAGGCACAAGTCTTCAGGGTGACTGGACAAAATCTTCTAGCAGATAACAGAAGGGCAACAGTAATGAAAACTGACCGCACCTGACTGACTTAGAATTGATAGGTCGGCATCAGGCACTGTCCGTTTCTGCTCCAAGGAGGTAGTAAGATCAGTTACATCGTTGCTTGACGAAGGGGGTGGCCGAGGTAGTGTGGCATCAACAGGTTCTTCGGAAGTGGACAGAAACGATCCACTCGGTATTAAATTGTCCGAATTGCCAGAGCCAAGCGAAATGTGTCGATCTGTGGGGTTCAAGTTCTGTGTCAAACAATCATGCGGATCCGAAGGATAGATGCAGTATTCAGGCTCCTGTACTTTCATCGGAGCACGAAAGGATGGGGGCATTTTATCGGCTAGTTCGCTGACGTACGACGGCCACATGTTACACTGAGAACGATCGTCGCTCGTCCACTGGCACTTTTCCAAAGACAGGTTAGTTGGCACTTCAGAGTATTCAGCAGCACACTCAGATTGATGTGGGTGTCTTCTTAATACATAACAGCCGTTGTGCAACTCCATCGAAAAATCTGCCAAAATCAACTGCCCTTGAAAAACGGGAAAATTGGGTTGAACTGTGGGCACTATAAATAACACATCACTAACAACCAAAAACTCGATGAGCGTGTGTACTGAGCAAAAAAAAGCTACAGAACAACAAAGAGGTGATTAAAAGGTTATGGGAACAAAACAAATGGATTCAAAGAATTCAACGGCACTGTCAATAACTAATCGAGAAAGACATGTAAACGCACCTATACAGCCGATTATAAAATGGATTTGACAAATAAAACGGCTAGGAGACAGGAGTAGGGGGATCCACACTGGTGATACTTACCAATTAGTATTTGGAAAACATGCTAGTCAAGTAGGCTCTGAGCCGTAAGAGAAACGTATTTGAAAAAACCAGTTTCCCAAAAAAGTGGGCGTTATGAAACTGAGAAATTCGCATGTAGCGTATTTTGAGAGCTTAAATCGGTGTACAGATAATGCGCCATCGGAACCATGGCGGGATAGAAAAACAGGATTAGAGTAAAAGAAAACAAACAATTTTTTGTTCATTTTCCATTCACAGTTTCGAGATTTTAGGATGTTTTTATTGGGGGTTGGAAAGGGAATCACTGCAACAAGCAGAGGTACACGCCCGCCACTGAGTTCGGTTTCGAGTCATGACTTCCAACGTTTCCAACCAACGGCAGTCAGCATCCTTGGGACCCCATCCAGGGAGTCGGGAGGAAGCAACCTTGGCCAGCTGTTTCGTCAGTTTTTTTCATCCTGTTTCTCCAAGTTGTAAGCTGTCCACCACACCGCCTTCTTCAACCCTGTCCAGCGACTGCGAACAAGGCCTGACGCGGAAGACACTGAACGGGAGTACGCAGTACGTGTCCGAGCCATGGTGGTTAGGGCAGCGAAATAAGCACCTCGAGGGAGTGGCTGTCTCCACCCAAGACACGCTCTCTGACTTCAAGGTTGGTTACGTGATACAGCCACCACACACGCGCAATGAACTGCAGGCAACGGTTCTCGGAGACAGACAGTCCGCGCAGGTCATCGGTACGAGCAGGCCAAGTCTCGCAAACGTACAACAGTACAGCGCAGACAGTAGAACTCTAAACCCGTCCTTTGATTGAGAGACGAATGTCATGGCGGCGCCAAAAATGCCTCAGCCTGGAGAAGGCGAGACGAGCCCTTGAGATGCGCGTCGAAATCGAAGCTGCAGTTATGCAGCGTCCCAGGTAGCCAAAACTCTGCACAACATCTAACATCAATGGTAAGTGCATGTAGGGGCGTATACCAGTCTTGAAAAAGCGCATTGCACTTGGATGGTGAAAAGTGCATGTCATCCCTCGACGTTTCAACCGCCAGGCGGTTAAGTGCAAGTTCGACGGCCTGCGGACCGTCACCCAAAAAGACGATATCATCAGCGTAATCCAGAACAACCACTCGACTACTTAGGAGGAGCTCAACGTCAGCGTTCAAAAAGCCTTCTAGATCATTTTTGAAGACACTCTCAATGGCAAAGTTGAAGAGGAATGGAGAGATAGAGCATCCTTCTTGGACCCCACTGGTGACAACAAAGGAAGACGAAAACTTGTTATAAGCTCTAAATCTACCCGAGGTCAGAGTATACAGAGCATGCAGAATGGAAACGAACTTCCCAGGTGTGCCATTCCTCAACAGACAGTGTCTCAATGCAGCCCTTTCGACAGAATCGAAGGCAGCATGGATATCCAAGAACATAATCGTTGGCTTCCGATACACATGGTGGAGCTCGAGAATCTGACGGAGTGTGAAAATCTGATCGATGCAGCCACGACCACGGTGGAACCCAGCCTGTTCTTCTCGCTGCGACGATTCGCGCTCTGGGGATAGCCTACGAAGGATGATGGACACCAGAATCTTGCAAACGACGAGAACCAAATGTATGCTCCTATAATTGGAGCACTTTGTGCACAGGCCCTTTTTGAAGCTTGGAACGACTATCGACTCACTCCAGAATGATGGAACTTCTTCTTCTTATGCCCAGACTTCTGAGAACAAAGCGGTGAGTTCTCGAACCAGCGGAGCCCCCCGCTGTAAATAGAGCAGGAGGCAGACCATCAGGGTCGGATGCCTTATAACGATTTAGGCAGCAGAGTTCCCGTCAGATTTCCTGGTGATAGAGAGGATCAGTGGGGATAGTCCACTCATCACCAGTGCGCGCCCCAGGAGAAACAGACGAAGCTGGCGGCCAGGAAAACTGTGAGCTAAAATGTTCGGCCCCTCGTTCCAACCGTCGTTGAAGGTTAGTGATTAGAGAACCATCATCTTCGCAAACTGCCTCGCTTACTCTAGATCGGAAGCCTTCGGTGACTTGGATGAGGTGGAAGAGTTTTCTGGTATTACCAGAGAGATTAGCAAGTTCAATCTCTCTAGCACGTTCACACCACCAGGTCTCACGGCCCTTCTGTAAGCTCCTACGCAACACTCGATCCAAGGATCGGCGTTCCTCACTACCCGTCGCAACGAGACTGGACCTTAACGTGGTGCGACGGTTTGCGTACCTCATTGACCCATTGAGCTATACTGGGTGATGCCTTCGAGCACCTTGAGAGCTACTCCTACCAGGTTGGTCAATGGTGAGAGGTCAGACAAACTCAGTCTCCTGGTCCTCCAGGTTGGGGGTTTCAAATGGGATGGCGTCCATTTCTGTAAAACTAAATCACTGCCACCCCGCTGCCTTGCGGACAGGCTTTTGAGCCAAAGGCTTTGGATGAGGACCCTAATCGTTCTCCTGTCTAGGTCTGAGCGCCCTGGCAGTATCCCAGCCCACATACAACCATGATATTTTCTTCAAACATAAACTTCATCCTGCATCGGCCGTCGCGCAGATTATCAAGGGTCGCCTTATCTGCTGCATACAGCAGGGCGGATAAGCGAAAGCATGCTACTGCTGGCGCCTCCCTTCTTTCTTTTCCACCTTTTTCTCTTACTCCCATCCCGGCCCCCATTACTAACCTTCCTTCTATAATTCCCAGCTTAATTGACAGCAACCGCAGTGCTACTGGAGTAGAACCATCTACAGCCACCATCCCACAGCACCTATCGGACGCCTATCGGCAAAAGTTCCTTATAAGTCCACGCTGTCCCGTTTCCATGGCGACATTCAACGTCCGCACTCTAAGACAAACAGGTCAACAGGCTGCACTCGCACGCACCTTGCACACACTGGGTGTTGATGTGTGTTGTGTGTCCGAAACTAGGATCAATGACCCTCATGTGGCTGTTGAATTAACTGCACCCGGTTTATCCTTTCGTTATTGGTTGCACGCATCCGGAGACGCCGATGCAGCCCTTACGGGCCAAGCTGGTGTAGGTATCATTCTCAGCTCCAAGGCTGAGTCATCGCTGGTTGATTGGATTCCGGTGAACAGCCGTTTATGTGCAGCCCGTTTGACGACATCAGCTAAGGTGAATTCGCGAAGTAAAACAAAACGCTGCTTGTTTGTCATTTCTGCTTATGCTCCCACCGACTGCAGTTCTAATGCAGTCAAGGACACTTTCTATCACGAACTGAACACGCTACTACGCAGTGCTACTAGTTCAGATATTATAGTACTTGCAGGGGATATGAACGCACAAGTAGGGCGTCTGAGCTCTTCAGAAGCTCAGCTGGGTGGTAATTATGGACTTAACTCCGAACGGACTGACAACGGAGAGCGTCTGCTGCAACTGTGTGCGGAGCACCAGTTGTTTCTTACTAGCACTGCTTTTAGACACAGTGGGCGCCGAAGTGCCACTTGGCGTCCACCTGTAGCTGGTCAGCGATGGACCCAAATTGACCACATAGCCATAAGTTACAGGTGGCGCGGTTCCATTCTGGATTGCCGCTCGTACTGGAGTACCTGTGTCGACTCTGACCATGCCTTGGTGCGCTGTCGTTTCTCCATGAACTTTGCCGGAAGGCGCACAAAGCGTCTCCCCCGATTGGCAACGGAGAAATTGTCCCAGCCCTCGGTCAGGCAAGCCTATCAAGAAGCACTGCGTACCGAACTCTCGCTGTCTTGTCCTAATGACACTGAGCTTCAGTGGAACAGGATCTCGGCCACCATGCACGACGCATGAGCATCTGCTTGTGGCACTATCAGTCGTCATCGCACCAGTCACTGGATATCCGAAAGGACCGTGAACCTTTTGGAAGCTAGAAGGCACCTCCCGGCTGGTTCTGAACACAATGTGACCAGACGGGCTATTAGGCGTGAACTAAAGCGGAGCCTACGTGCTGACAAGGAAACCTGGTGGACCAGTCGGGCTCAAGAAATGGAGGAGGCAGCAGCAGTAGGCAATTACCGGAAGCTCTTCCACCTAATACGCACCACTGGTCCGAGAAAACCAGGCGTCAGTGAGACAATCAGGGACAGCGCGGGTGCGCTGATACACAATAAGGAGCGCCGTATGGCTCGTTGGGCTGAGCACTTTGAACATCAGTTCAGCTGGCCCCTGCTCCCGGACCTCTTCCTACTCAGGTGATGCAGGACGAGCCATGGACGGTTAGTTTAGAGCCTCCGTCGGAGGCCGAGGTCCGAAACGCGATCACAGCCCTCAATCGTTTTCGTGCCGCTGGCCCGGATTCCCTACCACCTGCACTATTTAAGGATGGAGGTGAGGTCCTCTGCAAAGCACTGACCTCCCTATTCGAACGTATCTGGAACGAAGAGAGTGTGCCGACTAATTGGAGCGAATCGATTATAGTGGCAATATACAAGAAGGGCAGTCGCACAGACTGTGCGAACCACAGGGGTATTAGCCTAACGCCAGTTGTGACAAAATTACTGGCCTCGATTATCGTTCGTCGCCTCACTGCAGAACGGGAATCTCGGATTAGAGAAGAGCAGGCCGGTTTTCGCCCAGGACGTGGCTGTATAGACCATATATTTACTTTGCGGCAGGTGCTAGAGCAGCGCCACGCATACCGCAGACCGACAATAGCTGTGTTCCTCGATTTCAAGAGTGCGTTCGATTCAGTCGATCGATCGATTCTGTTCGAAATACTTGCGCGGAAATGTGT